AACTTGTCACATAAGTCATTGTGCCACAAGTGATGTAAGCCCTTTGTGAAGATATCTTCACATTTTTTCTCTAATAAAGTGTTTGTCTACTTCAATGTGTTTAGTCCTATCATGAAGAACTAGATTGGAAACAATGTTGATAGCTGCCTTGTTGTCAAAATACAATGACATAAGACTATCAATAGTGAATCCCAACTCACTTAACAATTTTTTTTTATCCACAACACTTCAGCAACACATTGGGACATAGCTCTGTATTCTGCCTCAGCACTGGACCTAGCCACGACACTTTGTTTCTTGCTCTTCCAAATGACAAGATTTCCTCCCACAAAAGTGCAATATCCACTAGTAGATTTCCTATCGTCTACAAATCCAGCCCATTCATCATTTGTATATACTTCCACCTTTAAATGCCCATGCTTCTGGAATAACAAACCAGCCTCCAGATACTTTCTTGAGATACTTAAGAATCCTCTCAATAGACTCCATGTGGGTAGTCTTAGGGGTGTGCATGAATTGACTGAGGACACCCACAGCATATGCAATGTCGGGCCTAGTCATAAATAGATACAGAAGCCCCCCACAAGTTTCTGGAACTACTTCACATCCTTAATTGTCTCACCATCACAATCACCCCACTTGTGATTAAGGTATGGGAGAATCAGCTAGCTTTGCTCCCAGTTTACTTGTGTCTTGTAAAAGATCTAGGATGCATTTCCTTTGAGAAATGGAAACCCCTCTTTTTGAGCAAGCAACTTCAAATCCAAGAAAACTTCTTGAGCTTTAAAATATCACTTGTCCAATCCCTAGTGACAACTATGTCATCAATATACACTATTGTTGCTAAACCAAGCCTTCAGTAATTGTTTTAGTCCATACAAGGATCTCTTCAGTTTGTACATATTCTGCTTATTGCCTTTTAGCGCAAAAACTATTATGTTGAATCATATATACTTCTTCTAAATCACCATTCAAGAAGGCATTCTTGATACCTAGTTGATGAAGATCCCAGTCAAAATTTGCTACCAAGGAGTGGAGGACTCTAATAGAGTTCATCTTGGCAATCGAGGCAAAGGTCTTGGCATATTCTACTCCATACACTTGTTGAACCCCTTTGCTACCAACCTGACCTTATATCTTTCCACTGTGCCATCAGCCCTATGTTTCACCATAAATACCCACTTGCACCCTACTGGTTCTTTTCCATCAGGAAGGTCCACCAACTCCCATGTACCATTTTTATGTAGAGCATTTATTTCCTCTTTCATTGCATCTGTCCATTCAGGGACCAGCAAAGCCTCTACCACATTCTTAGGGATGGGAACACTATCAATGGAAAGGAAAGCACGGAAGGGAGGTGAGATGTTCTCATAGGAAACAAAATGTGAAATGCAGTACTTGGTAGAACAAGACCTGACACCCTTTCTTTAAGCAATAGAAGTATCTATATCAATTCCAGGCATATCAATAGGGATAATGATACCTGGAAGGATCTGCCCCCGAAAATTCCGATGACGTCAGTGGTACAACTTCAAGTTGCTTTATGGCTTTTGAACTTGGTTGGCCCTTTCGCCAACGAAGAAACACACAAAATGGAGGATCAGGAAGAGGAGGTAGTTGAACTTGTATGTGTTTCTCCTCAACCCTACCCTCCCCCTGAGAAGGAGGAGGAGGATCGGGGGGATTGTTCCTTAACTATCTATGGTGGAGAATGAATCATCAGCTAGTCTCACCTTATCTCTCCCAAAAAGCAAGTTATAGGACTGAAATAAATGGGACTTACCCGTCATATGATTCAAGGCTCTAGAATCAATGACCCAAGGATACTCTAAAGCATGAGAAGATACATGGAAGGTTATGGCAAAGTTACCTGATGTAGATACAAAAGCGCTGAAGGGAGTAGTGCCAAAATCCATCTGACGAGGTGTCCTACCATACAGTTCAAGGTGGTCAAGGAATGAGTTGATGATATCTTCCTTTGGATTAGAACCAGAAGGACGATCTTGATTCGTAGTAGAACCTAAAGTCTGATGTTCCTGAGACCATGTTTGCTAAGTAGTACTTCTTCTAACCTTGTTGACTAGGCTTCTTGTTTTGTTCTTGAGCTAATTTCTGAACTCTTGAGCCCACTTAGGTTTTCCATGGCGATCCCAACAAGTGTCCCTAGTATGCCTGGACTGCTAGCAATGAGTACACCAAAGTTTATCTTTGTCATCCACCCTTTTCTAAGGATCACCCTTCTTAAAGGAACTTCCACCACTTGCACTTGCACCTCCCCTAATTGCCAAAGCAATTGGCTCCCCCTCTGAACTGTTCATCACATTCCTCCTATTCTCTTCGGACTATACTTAGGCATATACCTCCTGGACTGAAGCAAGATCTTTGCTTCCCAAAATTTGCACCTTGATAGACTCATAAATAGGATTCAGCCTCAAAAGAAAGGCAAATACTTGCTGTTGTGAAACAAGAGAATTGTAGGCTTTTGCATCCTCATCGCACTTCCAGTCCATATTTAGATAATGATCCAACTCCCTCCAGATAGAAGTCAAATCAGAGTAATAGATTGGGAGATTCCTCTCCCCCTATCTACAAGTAGAGGATTCAGCTTGCAATTAATAGATTTTTGCATAGTGTCTTTGCTCAGAATACATAGGTTTAGCTTGCTCCCAGATTTCATAGGTTGTCTCTGGCCACAATTTTTTTTCCTCACTTATGGCAGCATAGAAACTAAAAGCCATGACATTACCATACTGTTTTCTTATCATGTTTTCTACTACCAGTCCTTGGCTCCTTATTTTTCTCCATTTAATGTATCCTAACTTCCCTCTTGTGGTTATGTAAAGTTTAATCCCTTTGGACCATTCTAGGTAGTTAGGTCCATCTAGCAGGATAACAGCCATAGGAAAATTCAGATCAAACCCCCCGCTCATTCCACCATGAGTAGCAGACACACCAGAAGTGGCTGAATCCTCAGATGACATAGTGTTACTATTCAGCCACATAGGAACCAATAACAAAAGAGGTAGCAAGCATCAAACTTCTTAATCACACAAACAACACAATATGGTATTCCCTGCAATCCACAAATAACTCCAAGTACTAGAACACTACTGGAGTAAATGGAAAGTTAAAGCATACTACGAAACAAATCAGGTTGGGTCTGGAAAGGTCCTACAATCATCAAACACTTTTCCTCTGGGACATACGATCACAACTAATGCAGAAAAAATACATATACTACCTGTTACTGCTGGTACAGGCCATTCCAGACCTACAGAAGCACCAACCCGAATGCACAAGGATCACATGATCCACACAGAAGGTAAAAACACACTTCCAACACCTTCGCAGTATGCTGTCACAACTTCTCAGGCTCTATCTTGGCACACGAACAAGAAAGAAAAGGGAAAAAAATCTTCCCATCCCCTCAGAACCAGTTGATTCTATTTAATCTGGAAAAGAATAGACAAAAGGCAAGGATTTCTTGATCGAACTGCTTTTATACCAAAGACTCCACTCTGATACCATGTTTTCCTAGAATTGAATCCTTTTATTCATAAATTAATGAGTTTACAACTATCTATTGAACCTAAGGTAAAGCCACTAAGGATAGACCTGGGACACTCTCAACCTATATATCTCTTTAAAAATCTCTTCAATTTCATCTTCTTCCTCCTTATCTTCATCATTTAATTTTCCTCTATACTTTTCTATTCCGAATGTTTCAGGCACGAAAATATAAGACATAATGCTTGTTAAATATAAATCATAAAAAATAAGGGTAAAAATATAGACCTACCCTGTACTTTGGGGGTAATGACACTTGGGCCCCAACAAAGAGCTACCGTGTACTTTCAGATTCCAACACTCTACTCCTACCATTAGCATTTTGTCAATTTTAAACTTTTATGAGAACATTTTGCCCTCTCCTTTATTGTATCTCTAAAACCCAAGTCTTGAACCTTTCCTATCTTCTTTCTTATTTTCATTTCATTTGTTTGAGAGACGAAAAAGAGTTGAAAGAAGTAGTGCATCCATCATAAAGTTCAAAACATGGGTTTTGGAGATGCAATAAAGGTGAGGAAAAACATGGTCTCATAAAATTTCAAAACTGATGGAATGCTAATGGTGGGAGCAGAGTGTTGGAATCTGGAAGTACAGGGTAGCTCTGTGTTGCAAATGGAAGTTTTAGGACCTTAATGTCACTATCCCAAAGTACAAAGTAGTTCTATGTTTTTACCCAAATAATAAACATGTTAAACCTAAAAATGGGAAAGATGGCACAAAAGAACAGATATTCTATCATATTGCTGTCTAGGAATAAATTAAATAATGAGTAACCTTTAAGCTGTAAAGGAATAGAAGATGAAAATCTACCCAGTAGAAAACAAAAGAGAACTTTGTTTAGTATATGTATCCATGGAATTTGAAATTTAAGGTGCCATCTCTATATATCAGTTTGAATTATGTTTCAATACATGAAATTAGTGTCCCCCAAAAAGGATCCATGGATAGTTGGATTTATCCTGGTAACAAATTGGAGCTGTTTGACTGAATGCAATCTGCAGAACTTCTCATCAAAATCTAATAATTTTGAAGAAGTGGATCACATTTTCTTTGTCCTCCAGATTTCATTTACCACGGAGTATGTGCAAAATGTAGAAGTGGTAAGAAATGATTTAAGCACTAATAATTTAACAGTGAATATGGCTTTAAATAGAACGGATTGGCAAAACAGGATTCATGTAGCTGACTCCATATAGTTATTAAGGCATGGATGATGATGGTGATAATGATGATGATGGTGATGATGATGATGTTGATGTTGATGTTGATTATGATGACGACGATGGAGTGTGTCCAAAATCCGCATCATTTGTGATAGTATCCCTGTTATCAGCCTTTTCTCTTGTGCACTCATTTGGTAGTTCCATTGATATAATTTCTTGTTACCCATTACTTTATGGTTGCTCATACAGGAATAGTTCCTTATTGAACAGGAATTGGATGATATATGTTGCAAGAACAACTGGATATTACCAAGATTTAATATATTTCCATCAAACGGTAAGATATGTTCATCCTTAGAAGGTAACAATTAGCCTATTTGGTAGCCCAAGACAGATTCTATTGGTTCATATTAAGAGAGATGGTCTCTTCTAGGATGACTTTTGTCATTTATTCAATGACCTTTTGCTCAACAACTTGCTATATTTTATTTTATGAGGCAATTCACGTTGCTATTTTCCTTTGATGGAGTTTGGATCTGCCTTGGTACTAACCACATTGAGCTCAATGTGCCACCATTGGATGCACCAAATTCTGACAAGGGGAACTTTAGGTAAAAGTTGGCTTTCCAATTATTAATAAAACACCATCCCTTGCCCCTTCATATCAATCAAAATACTGCTTTCGAGGGCCTTCTCTGCCCTGAAAATTTCTGTAGTCAGTTCAATGTGCCAATGGCAACTAAAACACCAAGCATTTCTATCCTGGATTTCCTTAAATCATCTCTTTTGTATTGCATTCAGTCTGAGATTTGCTTTTCACTTGCACTATACTCAGCAGTAACTGATAACCATTTGATTTTTTTAATTGATCAACTGTGTTCAATTTTCAGTATAGTGAAAAAGACTGAATGAATCAAACTGATGTAATATATTGATCCCTTCTGTAGGAGGATTCTGTGCCAATGTAACAGTACAAGGAATGGACTTTGAGTGCTCTAGTGGTGGGGATGTAAGCGCTGATCCTCGTGAAGCTAGGGAATCAGCTGCAGCACAAGCATTGAACAAATTGCGAACTATGGCATGCAACACCAAATAGTTGGAACAACTAACAACTCAGCCTGCATTATTCTTCTCACAGTTGCCTGATACTTACTATCCAGGAGAATCACATGTTAAAGGACTCCTGGAAAAAATATACTCCTATTACTCTAACCTACCTTGTCCAGCCATTCACACCTAGAAGCCATATGCGGTTCAAATACCTACTAATAACCTATGAGGATAAATGACAAAAATAAAATGATAGAATGTATTATGAATTGTCCCACAAGTTTTGGGAGCGTAGTCCATGGCCTGTAACCCTTTGGATTATAGAACTATGAGGTACCCAAATTGCTTCAACCATGCAGGTCCTCTTTAAAGACATTAGACATTATTAACGTAATTATAAGTAGATATCTCTAATTATTTGCTAAGTTTATTAATTGATGAGCCTACCAGTACCTGCCTAATCTTGGGCATTAATTCACAATTTTGAATAATGGTCATTAGACAATATTAGTTCCAGCTATTTGGAGTCATGTGAGGGGTTGATTAGATATGGGCCTAACCTTTAGTATTTTATTAACAAAGTGGTTGCTCTCAAAATGAACCACATTCTCAGGCTTGTCGGTCCAAGATTTTACAATTATACCAAGCAATGGTCCAATCCCAAATAATATGAACTGAGCACTTCCCCCTACTCCTGAAGAACCTGGATTCCCCATACTACTTCAATCAAAGTTGAATTTGATGAATCACTCATCCATCTGATCCCACTAAAAAATCTTTTTGTTGTTACATACTTATACCTGCAACTTACCTCAACCTCTTAACAATATCAACCAAAGAATAGAGGGAGAAAACGTCATGTGATTTTACACAATGCACCACTTTAACAGTAACACACTCTAATACAGCCTCAAAGACCTTTCTATCTCTTTGAAAATTCTAGCATTTCTTTCCCCTCATGGTCCCAACAACTATTGCTCTTGTCATCCTCCACAACATCTTCCCTCTCTTCTTTGGACTCCTAAATTTCATAGGATCAATAACTCTATTTGTTGGCTCATTGCACCCAAACAAGGAGAAAAACCTCTACCAAACATGAGAGACAAATGAACAAGGTGATGAGTAAATATTGGCAAGTCCCATGCTAGATTGGCATAGGATACACTTTTAGGAGATGGACACCAAGGGTGCCTCCATTTTTGTAAAACATCCGAAGTATTAATCTTTTCATGATAAACTTCCTAGCAAAATGTCTCAACTTTTGGAGCAACAAGTTTGTGCCAAATCTCCATAACAAGGAAAGAGAACAAAGGAGGAAGTGGAGTTAAAGATCTACAAAAGAATAGGGCTGTCAATGGGTTGGGTCTACCTGATGGACCCGAACAAACCGAACTGATTATAAAGGTTCTGGTTCCAAGATTTTGTCCCAATTAATAAATTGGTTAGTTCCAATTCTTTCCTGTCCCAAATTGATTCAGACCCACAACCAATTATTTTATTAAATATATAATATTTTCTTAATTTTCTTATAATTTTATCATATTTTAAAATGATAAATTTGATAGATAAAATGTATAAGATAATATTACTTAAAATGCTTAATTTATTAACATATGAATAATTTAGTATTTTTATCAATTAGGTTATATTATAAATTTTAAATTTTAAATTATTATTTAAATAAAAAATAAAGTTTTTAGTATAATCAGGTCTATCAAGTCTGGATTCAATAGACCCAACTATTAACTAGGGTGGTTCTAGGTCTACAATTTTCTCCCTATTAATAATCGGTTTGGAACTGGTTCTACCTAGACCCAACATTGACAGCCCTACAAAAGGATGTATATGAGAAGAAACCTAAGAGGTTATGAATCCAAAGATGGCAGTCAAGAGATGATGGGTCCAAAAAAACCACCAAAAACATTCAGCAAATTAATCGCATCTAAAAGTTCTAACTCCCTCACCCCTCTTCTAAAACCCAAATTCAAGTCTCAACCAATAAAAAAAGTAGAAATAGTTGCAGATGGTTTTTCCTCTTTAAGGTTGATACTTGAAAACAACTATAAAGCCATTATTTCAAAGGAGAATCTCTCACCCAAGCACCAAAGTAAACTTCATGTTTTTTGCAATTAAGGAAGTCTGGTAGGATCTTATGAATTGCCTTCCAAGGTGTTGCCCTCATACACCTTTGTGGAAAGTCTAGCATCCTGCTACCCAGTTTACAAGCCAAGAGGGGGGTGATTTTGAAAGTTTTCTTTTTAAGGGTGGCTTTGTATCTTCCTAGTTAAATGCTTAAATTAATTATGAGAGATGAATCACAAATTACAATATTCCTAACAGGAATGGTTGCAGTAAATACTCAATTAGTTAATTAACTTCAATTATTAGAACATTTAAAGCATGTATAAGATTGAACTTTTAATTGCATAATTAAGAGTTAATTTCAAATATCATAGTCAAACATGAATCATATTTGAAGGATTGAATTGCAATGGTGATGAAGTTGAGTGGAGAGAAAAGAAGACGACACCAAAATCTATACAAGTTCATCCTCCATTTGTTTTGTTTTACAACAAATGGATAGGCTTCACAGTGCTATCAAAACCTCTCTCTCCAACCAGACTTCATGAGTGTTGGTCCAACCATTACTAAGTGTTCTTGCAAAAACACTCCCACAACACAGCTAGATGATTCCCAACTAGCCAAGACATAAGAAATAATCTCATTCTTATTTCAACCAGGCAATTCTCTCAAAGATTGAACAAAACAATGTGGTATGAGAATTCCTTTTATTGGATTTGAATATGCCAATTATATCTCAACACCATTCACCCAAAGAAGATGGAACTTGATTGTTTGAAGATAGGATGTCTATCAGCACCTAATTTTTGCTCACTCCCCTTATCCTACCAATTTGTACTCCCTTTAAGACCCCAAAAACATGAAAATACAACCAAATCCAAAAAAACCCAAAATCCTCATTTTTGGCATTGTCCACATGTTAAAACACCTGATCAAACCACACCAACAAACTTAGAACACCTAAAAACCTTACGACAAAACAAAATTCACATCTAATTTCCACAAAGCCACCATCACTTTCAACAATCTCAATCAACAAAAACAATGAAATCGACATTTGACACTACAAGGGCATTAATATCCAAATTAGGCACAACCCTTAAAATTAGGATACTAAAACTTAGTTACAAGTCAAATATCACAATCAAACTTCAAAGATGGACTTTTCATCATACTAGATTTCCTTTTGACAATCCCAATCAATGCATATTCAAACCTTGATTTAACTGAAATCAAATCAAATGTACCCATCACCTCAAAAACTTTTGAGATATAATCATCCACCAAATGGCATCTTAAAACTTTGACGATCAACTGTAGAAACTACCAATTTTAACAACACTAAATGAAGTCAAGACAGCCAAGACCAACATATCCTATATCAAATCTAAGCTCCTACATGATCTAGCACCTTGATTTATACTCGCACATTAAATTTCAAGTCAAAATTCCATTATTTGATCATTTAATCATTAAAGACTCCAATCCGATACTTCCGGTTAAAATGCACTAAAATTCATAGGCCTTGTGATTAAAAACAGATCAATCCCCCCCTATTGAGTTTAAAACCCCTCAAAATGAACTATACATCTAATCTCAACCATAAATTCTTTCTTTTCCCTTTAAAATAAACAAGATTCCATTTTTAACCCTCTTATTAGTGAACAAGCTATAAGCCAAAACCCTAATTTGAACCAAATCTCTTTATCCATATCTCAAATTTCAAATCCATCTCCTCTATTAGATTATAGATGTCCGTGTAAGTTGATTGGATGAGGATGGTCTATAGGTCCTGAAATTTTGGGATTGAGAATGCCAAGGGCCAAAGAGAGTGAAAGGCAAAAGGTTAGAGAAAATTTTTGAGTAACATAATGGAATTAAGGGTGAAAATGGCTAAGGAAAGGATCCCTTTATCACGGTCCTCATTCCCCATTTATAGAATCAGAAAACCAAGCTATGTGCATAGCCCTAGATACTCTAGAATCTTTCTCTTCTTAACAAGCATGCGAGATGTAGATCCCACCTTTTTCTCCCCAAAAGACATGTGTCCTAGGGATTACAAAGTCGTTAGACCACATTCTTGGAAGCCACTATGGGAATAGTGCATATCCATACAGATTTCAGGTACACCTAGTCACAGCTTCCCTGTCGCTAGTTACGTGTTTCTCTCTAAGCGTGCTCTCAGACACCGATTCCTCAATATGAATCTCGCGCAAGACCCCCTTTAACACAAGCTATGGCGATGCTAACCCCATGTGTCTTGATGATAACATACTCATTGACAATAATAATGTTGTGAAAAGTTAAGTGTGCAATTGTATCATATATTTCCTCAAATTAAGAGGAGCAGTTGTATTAATTAGTACCATAGCTCCTCAAGGATCTTAGGAAGGCTCTCTCTTCTAATCGTCGTACCTAGGAAGGCCTGTTGATGTCAGACCACCACCGGATGATATCAAGAGTTTGTATAGTTAATGGCAACAACTCTTGAAACTTATATTGCCCGATGTGCCCTAAAATTAGGTTTTTTTTCCTTATATGATTCTTACATTCATTTGAAGCCTCTAACCAAAATTTATAGAAAATGCAAATTGAATGTTTAGGTTTTTCTACACATTTAAAATATTTTATTTGCATGGAAATAGATGCTCTTTGGTAATTTCAAAGGTCTAGAATGTTAGGAAGTTGTTTCACATTTTTATGAGCCCTAGATATTTTTTGGGAATTTTTTCTCTTCCTATTTTGTTGTTATCCAAATTTTAGCATCCTGTTGGGTTATGGAGAAATTAGATTGTAAGACATGGAGTTGTCTAAGGAAGTCCAAATTGTTCCCGGAGTGTTTCCTAGAAACATAGAAACTGCTAGTGGCATGATAACCACCGTAAAGCTTAACGAAACCAAAGTTTCCTAAGTGGGAGTAGGAAAATTCATTGGTAATGTCTTGGCCACTTTGCTCTATGCAACCTCATATAGGTCGTAACTAAATGTTCCTCTCTACTACCAAAGATATTTAGGGCAGAGTTATTGCTACCTATTCCCAAATTAGAATGGCAATGGGGCGGGGTAGAGTCGTGTTTTTCTTGCCCCATCCCCAACACCGAATTTAAATGCCCCACCCAAAACCCTAGTGGGGCTAAAAATCCTAACCCCATTTCCATCCCCATGAGGAACGGGGATCCCCAAATTTTCCCTACCTAGAACTATTTCATATAATGTAGTAATATATATATAAATACATATATATATATATGGTTGAGACGGGGTCAAGGAAGGGTGGATAAATAACATCCCCAATCAAGGTGGGGCCCCATAGGGATGGGTCAAATTGCCATCCCTATTGCCAAATAAGAAAT